CACATGCACACACATACACACACAAACGAACAAACACACACACACAAACACACGTACATACATTTATACATGCATACATACATACATGCACGCACATGCCAAATTTGACAACTGTACGTTTGGCACGTGCCGTAGGCATGTAAAATTTTGAAATATTTAAGCCATTTTCCTGCAATCTGAGGCATACTGTGGGCCATATTCTCATGTCTGATGACACTATCTCAACCCTAGACTCAACCCTACAAGTTAGGATTTAAAACACTTTTCATGACTTTTCAGAGAGCGTACACAGTTAGGTTACTATAGTAATAATACATGTATTAAAACACAGGTAAGAATTGCAATTTCTCACAATTTCACGTGTTTTTGTATGTTTCCAACCATACTTTTTGGCTATTTGTAAGTCTGGAAACATTTTCTTGAAGAGTTCATTTGCATGGTCTGCCTCACTTCTGCACCAAGACAGACAATTCTCTATCTGCTGCAAAGAAGCTTGATATACTGGGTGTAGATTCCACTGCACCCGCATAGCACTTATGCTGTCACTCCTTCCTCCGTGCCCCACTTGAAAGTCTGTCTTGCATACCATGCAATAGCCATGATTAACACTGAGTTTTGACTTCACAAGTACAGGCCACATCTGTGTATATTCGTTCCTAAATTTCTGTAAAAGTCGGGTTTTTTGGATGGCAATGGCAATTGGACGCCATTCTCCCCACGTGTTAATCTGATTAGCAGACAAACTACGCGACACCTTCCAGACAGCGCCTGTCTGACTAGGCTGTTCCATTTACCGTAGACATGCCAGATACAAAATGCATAGAATTAGAAACACATTATAACACTGAGCGATGGTAGGGGGGGAGGGTGCAAAACTAAGGTAATGGCAGAGCATGCATTTCCAAGAAACTACTTGCGCAGTGACGGCTATTAATAACTTGCTGCATCTCTACTGCACCAGCGCGTGGCCAGTGCCAGGCACCGGCTGAAAAAAAACAATGTTTCCAAGCGAACAATGCAAACAATCAGTGCAAATTTTATGCAGTGCAACTGAAATGAGGAATATAACCTTGCCGCTGCGGAGTGCGGAAATTAAGCCTAGAAATCGTAATGATTCCGCAGAATGCAGAATGGTTGGAGACCTTGGTTGCCGCTAGACGCGCGGCTGTGCGTCACGATTACCGCTGTTTTGTTCCCCTCACCTTTTTCCCACGCCTACACGCCCTAGTCCTTCCTCTCACGCGTCACTTACATTTCACCCCTACTTTCCCCTTATCAATTCGCCATTTTTCTTTTTCCGCCGGCCAACGCCCTGAAAAACAAGAAATCGTTACTGCCTACGTCAAGCCCAAGCAATCGCTCCCCCCCCTCACAGTCTGCGCGCATCGCTGCCAGCATTACGTAGTGCCGCGTCACGCGATAAATACACAGCACACGTACCAGCCGATGCACGGCGCATCACAGCGTACCGCGCGGCAGTGAATTGCATCTGCGCCTGCGCACTGCACATGCGCTGCGACGTCGACTTTGTCACACAGTTCCCCCTCCCTGTTCTTTCATAGCCGATCAATACACGCGCCTGCGCACTGATGCCTACTCACTCGCATACATACGCCGCCTCAACCCCCCTCGTCACTCTCTGCGCATGCGCCACGCAGCACGCCTTGACGCACAGCAGACCTAAATTCCGTATCCCGCCACGTTTCGTACCCCCCCTCCCATATGCTTACACCACCCCCTAGGTTCTCGTAACCCCTATACCTCCTTCCCGTACCCCTCCGACCCCCCCCATGGCGACGAGGCTTACCCACCCGTTTTACCCCCGTCCTTTTACGGCCGACACGTCTCTCGACGATACAGACGATCACATTACCTTTCCCAAGCAGCAGCTCAACGCACTCGTTAAGGAAGTCCAGAGCTTACTCTTCGTGAGTGGCTTTCTCGTGTATGATGGGCGTAACGATTCACCAGTTACCTTCAAACAATGGCTTTTGAGTCCCGATCATTTACTCCTGATTATTGACGAGCATGACGACGGCAAACAGGCCAGGTTGGAATTGCGCTTACTGGCAGGCGAGCCAGCCAATTGCGCAGCAAAGGCCTTGAGTGCCACACCCACGCTGAGATGGCAGGGCTTGGCCGCCATTTTGAAAGAGCGCTACACCGATACGTCAAGTGCGCATATCGCCTTGCAGGAATTTAAACGCGCTAAGCAACGCTAGCACGAGTCCATACGGGCGTATTCCAAATGCCTCGAACATCATGCGCGCACCGCTTTTGGCAACCTTGCTGAATCTGACGTCGCTCCAAGCGCGACTCATCGATCAGTTTCTCGACGGCATTACGTCCCACACCTTAAAGCGCCTTCTCGTGCGGAAGAGGCCGCCCACCTACGCACAGGCAGTGCAACCTGCCTCGCAAGAGCCCGCCTTGGATGTTGAGTGCTCATGCACTCACACACGGTACCTGACCCACTGGTTGTTTCAAACGTTCCAGTTGCTACAATATTGGAGCAACAACTGCGCGAGCTTCGCAACATTGTCGTTCAGTTCACAAAGAAGGCGGCGCAACCCTGGGAAGAGCCGCAGCTTCCGCCGCCCGAGGCACGCCCGCAGTATCAACAGCCCCGTTTTTCGCCTCGCCAGTATGTCTCGCCCCACTGCTACCGCACGCTCATATGCTACCCGTCCGCCTTATGCACCGTCTGCGCCGGCCGGCTCACAAACAATGCGGCCGCCTCGTTTCCCCAATTACTGCTGCGCTACCCCACCCTTCGCCTGGACCCCGGATGGCACCGCCAGTTGCCATTTTTGTGAGAAGCCCGGCCACTATTGGCGTGAGTGCCGTGCACGCCACGATCGCACCGCTCAACATACCCAGGGAAACGCCCGGTCTCCCTTATCAATATGAGACGCTGAGGAGACCGGCCCAGTTCACTTTGTCTCACCCGCGCGTGCGTGCGCTACATACTAACAATTCCAGTCATCTTGCACCACTCTGAGGACACTCACACACCACACACTCACATAGGAGCCGCACCCGCGGACGCACTTATTGATATGGGCACGATGACACATCAGCGAAACGTTTTGGTTGAAGCTCAAGTCCCGCTATGCATATTGCTTTAGTGAGAACCACACACAAGTTTTGAAGTCGGCCTCGGGAGACCACTTATTCGTCCTGGGTCATGCGACCCTACCCATACACATTACCGACCCTATCGTTTCACACACATTCTTCATAGTACGCGGCATCTTGCGGGATGTCATCTTAGGTTTTGATTTCATGCGGGCGCACAATGTTCAGCTCGATTGTGGCCGCGCCACGCTTACCATAGCTAACGTCGCCGTTCGTCTTAAGCTAAGCAGTGCTGCTGACGACGCTAGTTCTATTTATACAGTCTCACTGCTCTACCCCTGCATGCTACAGCCAGTAAAACGTTGTTATGGCCGTTTCGATCAGCACGCCCCCCCCCCGCTCACACGTCCGTACTACTCACTGGTGGAAATGGGCCCGGCCAGCCCGCGAATTTTTTTTTCCCAAACGGTATAACATAGGAAGGATTTAGGCGCCTTCTGATTGGTTCATCCTGCCTCCTGATTGGTTCAAAAACAGGCGTGCACACATGTGTTTGCTTATTTAGCATATGTCATGTACTGTTTCTTATATATCCTGTGTGGCGTGGTGGATAGAACACCGTCGTTACTTCTGAAAGGTCGTTGGTTCGAATCCCGTTTGGTTTTTAATTATTTTTTTGTTTTCTGTATTTTTTTATCTTTATCCATTTAACTATTGTTTTCTAATTAACGGAAATATTTGCATGATTGATTTACAACAATTAAATATTTTAATTAAAATTTTTTTTTTAATAATTTAATTTCATTTATTAGTGTTAATTAAATTTAATTAGGGTAGATGTATCTGCTTTAGCAGGGAACAATTCCTCGCCTTTACTTCTTCGCCGCGCTGGATGATCACCATGGGACCCCTAATATCTATCACCTCGTAGGGATCGGGCTTAAACTTGGGGATCAGCTTGCCAGAAACATTATTCTTCATCAGGACTTTATCCCCTACACGGAGTTTGGACTCCTTTGTATGCCTGCGTCTGTCCGCATACCTTTTCATTTTCTCCTTGTTTCTGTTGTCAATGCCCCTCAGGACCGTATCGGAAATCTTTGCCGGGATTTGAGGCAGCTTGGTCGTACCCATATACCTATGGACAATGGACGCAGGGGTTTGCATGGTCGTACAGTGCGGGGTGTTACGATAATTCCACAGAAACCCATACATAACCTGTTTCCAAGGTTGTCTTTCAACCTGAGCGGCTGTACATGCTTTGTTCAATGGCTTATTGAAACTCTCGACATCCCCGTTGGCTTCTGGCCACAAAGGTGTCACTTTGCGGGGATGGAAACCCATGTATTTTGCGAAATTTGCGAACTCACTACTTTGAAACGGCGGACCGTTGTCGGTCTTCACTACATCGGGTATCCCTCGCGATGAGAATATCTTGTCGAGTACCGGGATTACAGTACGCGTGGCCGTCGAGTTGACAATCTCTACTTCTGGGAATCTACTGTAGTTGTCAATGACTACGAGCAGGTACTCTCCCTGAGGCAGTGTACCATTAAAGCCTACACTGACCTCTGACCACGGACGATCTGGTAACTTCGTCATGCGGAGCGGCTCACGTGAGCCACCACTTGTCGAGGCCTGACATGGAACGCACGACAAAACCTTGTCTCTAACTATCTGATTCATGTTCAGGAACCAGACTTTCTCCCGCAACAACGCGAGTTTTGCTCACGCCTTGATGGCCTTCATGAGCAATATCTACAACTCGGTTCTGTAGACTCACAGGGAGCACAATCCTGCCTTGCTTCACAACTATGCTTTCTCTGCTCACTGACAGTTCTCCTTGCACCTTGCTATAAGGAGTAAGGCCTGCCTGCTCTTTGGCTTCATGCCACCTTCCGGACCTAACTAGCTTTCTGACTTTACAGAGCGTCGGGTCTAACTCGCAAGCAACTCGCACCTCTTCAAACGTGACGGCCTTCGGCACTGAACTCTGCACTATGAAGCTAATGTATTCTTCTGCTACCCTCTGTTCGTGGCTGCTAACCATGTTCGGCAACCCAACGGGATGACGGGACAGGTAGTCTGCTGGGTTTTCTTTACCCACTTGGTGCCTAATCTCGAACTCATACGGCAACATCCGAAGCGACCATCTCTCGAGTCGAGCTGACAGTTTAGCTCGAGGATTTCCGTACATGGACAACAACGGCTTGTGATCCGTGTAAATAGCCACTCTGTGACCATGAACATACAAATGGAAATGTTCAAGCGACCACACTACACCTAACGCTTCTCTCTCTAACTGGCAGTACATTGTTCGGTCGGGGTCAACGACCTACAACGCGACCCTTCTGACACAAGATAGCTCCAACACCAATTGGGGAGGCATCAGTGTAAATCTCACTCTCTGACTTGGTGTCAAAATACGCTAGCACGGGCCGCTTACTCAATATCTCTTTCACCGCGTTCAACGCATCGGATTGGTCCTTTCCCCACTCAAAATCGACATCATGGTGGGTCAACTTTCTCAACGGAGCGATAATGGTCGAATAGTTGGGAATGAAACGAGCGCTGAAATTTAGAGTTCCAACTAAACTGTGTACTTCGGCGGTAGAGGTCGGATCTGAAGCTTCCAACAGAGCTTCTACCTTTTGCGGATCGGGTGACAGACCGCGCTTCAACAACACGAATCCGAAGAACTCTACCGATTCCTTGTTGAAATCGCACTTCACGAGAGTTAACGTGAGACCCTTCTGCCTCAGACACTCTAACACTGACAGTAGCGCTTTATCATGCGACTCCTGATCTACACCGAACACTACAATGTCATCTGATATATTTATGGCACCTGGTACCAGGGCCCTAGCTAGGATTTTTTTTTCTGTAGCCAAACAATTAGCCAGAATCAATTTTCATTAGCCAATTTGGATTCCTGTTAGCCACATCTGTAGCCTAACATTTTATGAACACAAACAGGCGATAAATAATTTTTCTTTTCTTTATTTTTTCACAAACTTTAAGATACGTTTTTCATGGTAAATACATCAGAAAACGTACTTATCTAGCGGTCATAAACCCTTGTTTATGTTTACCCTCATAAACCCTTGGTCATAACCGGGCGTTTGTTCTCTTGTCAAAGGCAAAGCAAATCGAAGCAGCCAATCAGAAGGCGCTAAATTCTTCGCTATGTTATACAGTTTGGGAAAAAAAATTTCGCGGCTAGCCCACCCCAATATTTATACAGTCGATACCGTTACTACGCCCACCTCCTCCCCCTATGTCCACGTGCCCCTTTTCAATGACACGTCGGCACCCATCACTCAGCCGCGTGGCTCTGCATTGGCCATAGCATGCAAGGTTACCCCCCAGTCGCCGACGCCTCGCCCCTCGCACGCATCCATCACAAGCCACCCGCTGCTAATGCTGCGACCCCAGCCATGTCGCATACCCACCGCACGCCCACAAGCCCACGTCAACCACGTCGCAGCGCACAACCACTGGAAGTTACCCGTTGATCTCACTCACCTAACGGGCCAGCATCGCAAATCCATTCAGAATCTCATTGAAGCAAACAATGATTTGTTCGCGCTCAATGATGCCGAGCTCGGGCGCACGCACCTTGTTAAGATGCACATTGACACGACAACCCATCCACCGATACGGCAGAAACCTTATCGTACTCCATTCAATTATCGCCACGCAATGGACTCACAATGCCGCCATTATCACGCCATCGCAAAGCCAGTGGGGAAGCCCTGCCTTTATCGTCCTGAAACAAGACGACCCTCTCGGCAGAATGGTCATTGACTACCGCCGTTTGAACGCCATAACCAAGAAGGATATCTACCCCTCCCTCGTATCGACGACATTCTAGCTTCATTAGGTAAATCGCACTTCTACTCAACCTTAGATCTTAAATCCAGGTATTTCCAAATACCGATGGCCCCCGAGATTGTCGATAAGACCTGTATAGCTACACACGACCAGTCATATTCACCTTGTCCTCCCGTTTGGGCTCGCCAACGCCCTAGCGTTTTCCAGAAACTTTTGATCATGGTTCTCTCTGACCTTCAGAACAAGTGTGCTATCCCCTACATTGACAACATCATCATCCATTCGCCGAATCAGCAGAAGCACCTTGCCGACATACAACAGGTCTGCCACCGACTACATCAAGCGGGTCTCAAACTCAACCCTGCTAAATGCGTTTTCTTGAAGCAGTCCGTCAAATATCTGGGACACGTCATCTCCCCGCACGGTATTACACCGGACGCAGCCAAAGTTACGGCAATCCAACAGCTCAAGCCGCCGGCAAACGTCCGACAAGTCAGATCGTTTCTAGGCATGGCTAATTACTATCGCGCGCACATCAAATCATTTGCAAACATTGGCATGCCGTTGACCACCGTAACCAAGAAGAATGCACACTTCAAATAGACTGACGACGCCGAGACCGCCTTTCAAGAGTTGCGAGCCAAACTCGTCTCGGCGCCCATTCTCGCATATCCCGACTAGAGGTGTAACGATAAATCATGAATAGCGATATTCACGATTTTTCATCCGAATCGTGATTCACGATTCATGGCAATGAATACCGTGAACGTTGATTACGAATTTACGATGGCCACTTCAGCACGCAATACTGATCGAATTTTGACCAATCAGAGCGCGAGGTTTATTCAGCGCGAGTCTACACTGTAAACACTAAACATGGCGCCCAAGAGAACGCTGGCAAAGCCGCCGGCTACTTTCAAAAGTAAAGTGTGGAAACATTTCGGATTTCCTGTAGAAAATGAAGTTATATTAAAAACAAAAACAATCTGTTGAGAGTGTGGGGCCGAGCTAAAATACATGACTGGAAATACCACGAACATGACGGCCCACTTAAGACACACCACCCCAAGCATGCCAAGTTACTATTATCAGAGGAAGAACCCACGCACGATCAGGCTGGGGAAACTTCGGGCAGTCAGAAGACACTGAAACAAGCATTCCAGCAGCCCTTCGCCAACTCATCACCACGAGCGACCGCAATAACACGTCAAGTAGGGGTTTTCATTGCCGAGGATCTTCGTCCTTACTCTGTGGTTGAAAAAGCTGGCTTTCAGAAAATAGTGAAACTTTTAGAGCCCCGATACAAGGTACGCTATGACTGCTACAGTCACTCAGTCAGTCACTCAAGTCAAGGGGCATTGTTAAATAAAATCATGATGGCATCCAACATTTTGATCAGATTAAATTAATTCAGAATATATAAATATAATAGGCAATAGTTGACTAGTAGTAGACATTTAATTATAATTATGATTAAAAATAAATAAATAAAATCTAAATAATATAACAAGATGTATATGATTAAAAATAAATAAATATAACAAGATGCATGATTTAAAAAATTAATAAAACTAAATAGATAAATATATGGATTATCTAAAAAAAAAAATAGATCTATGATCATAATGTATTATATTTATATAATATGAATTATTACCTTAATAGTAACTATGTAATTTCAGGTCCCCAGTCGCCAACATTTCAGTACAAAGGTAATCCCAGAGCTCTACAAGGAAACGAAGGCAAAGCTGTTGACAGAACTCAGAGATGCACCGATGATTGCATTGACAACTGATGGGTGGACGTCAAGGGCTACAGTCTCTTACATAACCATCACTGCTCATTACATGTCTGGTGATGACTGGAAATTACACAGCCGTGTCCTACAGACTAGGGCCTTGTATAAATCACACACTGGAGAACACATCGGTAATGTTCTCACCGATGCATTAGAAGAATGGAACATCAAGCGTCCCATACAAGCGATGGGAAATCCTGTAGTTACTGATAATGCATCAAACATGGACATCGCCGTCCGTGAGGCAGGAATAGGACCGCACGTGAAATGTTTTGCGCACACCATTAACCTCGCAACTCAGAGAGGATTGCAGACACCCGCAATGGAACGACTTCTGGGCCGTTTTAAGAGAATCATAAACTACTTTCATAGAAGTACATCAGCTGCAGCTCTGCTCAAAGAAAAACAAAAAATGCTGCAACTACCAGTGCACAAGTTATTGATAGATGTCAGCACGCGCTGGAACAGTAGTTACGACATGATGCAGAGATTCCTAGAGCAACAACCAGCAATCGTTGCAACACTCCTCAGTCCAGAACTCAGAAAGGCATCCAAGGATATTTATACCCTGAAAGATGATGACATATCAAATGCAGAAGAAGCCATTGCTTTGCTGAAGCCGATGAAATCTATCACAGTGATACTTTGTGACGAAGCTTCTCCCACGATCTCATTGATTCATCCTCTACAGCACCAGATCCTCCAAACCATGACAGCAGTAAATAATGATTCACCTATGACGATTAACTTGAAGACTGCCATCCGAAATGACATCACGAAAAGGTATGCTGATCCAGATGTTATTGCACTGCTTCTGTTGTGTACCTGTTTGGATCCCAGGTTCCGTGCATTCACACATATTGATGAAGGGCTACGTGCTGAAGTCTATGTGACACTGAGAGTCAAGGCAATTGCTTTGAACACAAAAATCCAACAACAACAACAACAAGCTGTACATACAGCTCCTGTACCGCTGGAAGTTGGAGCAAATGTAACAGAATCTCATCATCCGATTTCGGACCATGAAGAATCAGATCAATCTGTTGCATCGTCTTCCACGTCTGACCTTCATGGTGATTCTGGTGATGGTCAACCAGCAAGGAAGAAATCTGCACTGGAAGACTTATTTGGGAGTGGCTTACTGGTTACAGGCTTAGAGCAGCAGCAGACAATAGAAAGTAGAGTCAATGACGAAATTCGTCGATATCGTTCAGAGCCACCAATTCCCATCAATAGTTCACCATTAGATTGGTGGTCTACTCATCAACATGCCTTCCAATTACTAGCAAATGTTGCAAAAGCGTACCTGTCTATTCCCGCTACCTCGGTTCCAAGTGAGTCTTTTCCAGTGCTGGGGATGTGGTAACAGCCCAAAGGTCGACCCTAAGTCCTGAGCATGTAGACCAACTGGTCTTTCTCAGCAAAAATTGTGAACTTCTGTAGGCCTACAGAAGTTCCCAATTTTTGCTTGAAGGGGTTGAAAGCTTAACTAAACTTAACCGTTACATGCTAAACTAAGTTTTGCATATATGTGATTGAATAATTTCATCAGATCTCTATAGTTCACATGTAAATAAAGTTTATCTCAGTTAGATCCAAAATAGATATAGATATAGTTAGACAAAAATTTCATCAGTGTAAGTATTTATAACTTATTTTGGATCTACCTGAGATAATTTTTATTTACATGTAAGTTTTGCATATCTTGAAAGTTGAAACAAGACTGTTACTTGTTGCTATTTCATGCTTTATGACTAGTCAGTCTTTATAATTTACGTTTGTTTTTAATGTTGTTGCTTTTTTGACAACTTGCTCAATGCTCATTGCTGATTGTTCATTGTTCAATTTCAAAGTGCAATGGATATTAGTTTGGGTTGTATGTACTATGTACTCAATCACTCATGGAGTCATGGTACTACATTCTAGTCTTTATTTTTTAGAACAGTATTACTTTGTTTACTTTGTTCATTGGTTAATGTTTATGTCTATCACACTCACTCACACAGTCCGTAGTGACTAGTGAGTTGACATTGTTAGTTGGTGTTAACTTGACTTGCTCAATAAAGAATGTTCAACGTTCATTATATAAATTAACATACAAAACATATAGTGTTGATTTTGGACTTTTATTATAATCACACACATTGTAGAAAATAATTAGGTGTTTTTTGTCTGACAAAAAAATGGTTTTGTCTTTATGGAAAAAATCGAATCGTGATGCATGAATCGTGAATCGAATCGAATCGTGGCGCATGTATATCGTTACACCTCTAATCCCGACACCGACAAACCATACAAGTTGTATACCGATGCCAGTGACTTCGCAGTTGGAGCCGTCCTAGCTCAGGACGATGATGACGGTCACGAGGTCGTCATACACTACATTTCTCATCAACTCACCCCCTCGCAGGCACGATGGGGCATCACACAACGCGAGGCATTCACCATAATCTATGCACTAGACACCATTCGCCACTATCTTGCTGGCGCTTCCCTCACCATCTACACAGACCATTAGCCACTCGAGTATTTCCTCACGTCGCCCACATTGAAGAATCCACGCTTGTTACGATGGGCCACGATTCTCAGCGAGTATCAGCCGAAGATACTATACCTTAAAGGCGCCAGAAACGTTCACGATCAATTGTCCAGAATCCCTGCTGGACACGATCACGTCAGCCTTGCCGACACACCCAATCCGCAGAATCATTACCTAACCCAGATCGATGTACATGACGACACCCCAGAGCACATGCCTGCTTCGTCACCACAACACACCATCGAGCTCCACCCTTCCGCCAACGATCATGCGCCTCCCACAACCCACGTCTCACCAACCCCGCCGCCCACACAGACCACATGTGAAGTAACCACCGCAGACCCCATGATTGAGACCATATCGCTAGACGCCATTCGCGCAGAACAGTATCAGGACACACACTTGTGCAAGATTCGCGCTGTTCTTACCGCGTCCATTCCAGCACTGAAAGATCTAAAGTCCGTTGCACGCTACTTGATCGATGACGATGACCTTATCTATTATGCAGCTGAACCCACACGGCATGAAGACCCCAGTATGCAAATCGTCATCCCACACAAATATCAACACCTCATTACCGTGGCTCATCAAGCCGCACATCTCGGTTTCCCCAAGACGTATGCACTCATTCGCAGCCGCTTCTATTGGCTAGGAATGTACGCCAACATTCATACGTTCGTCCGTAGTTGTGTTGCATGCAACTCCGCCAAGCTCCACCGCATACCGTCTCCACTGGGGGCTGCGCCATTCCCAGATTCGTCGTTCCAGGTGGTGTCAGTCGACACCTGCCAATTTCCGTTGACACCCAGAGGCCATCGCTACATCATTCATTTCCATTGTACTTATACAAGTTGGCCAGATTGTTTTCCGGTACGGGACAAGTCCGCGCAGACCGTCGCTGACCTCTTGGTCAACAAAATCATCCCTCGACATTCCTACCCGAAGATCCTACTCTCCGACAACGGCACCGCATTTTGCAACCATGTTATGGATGCCCTCACTCGCCACTTCGGCATAATGGCAGTCCGCTGCGCCCTCTACCACCCCACATCTAACGCGGCTTGTGAACGCTTCCATCGCATTTTAAATTCTATGATCGCAGCATCGTTAACCGACAGCAGACTAACTGGGACTTGTTGCTCCCATCTCTGCTCTCAGCGTACTGCGTAAGCATTAACGGCACATCGCAACACTTCCCCTTCTACCTGCTGTATGGCAGACAGCCAATGCTTCTGCTTGATAACTTGCTCCTACCCCGAAGGAAGACGTATGACAACGACCCCATTCAGCAAACTCGAACGTTTCCATCAGTCATACGTCCACATTCGCAATGCAACCCGTGACATGCGTGCACAAAATAAACGCCGCTATGATCGCCGCGCGCGCAAACAGCATTTCAAAGCCGAAGATCCGGTCTACTACCACGACCCCGTACTTCAACCAGACACCACACGCAAGCTCGCATCGCCCTGGAAACCCTTTTATACTATAATCAAAACGCTGTCACCGAAGAAGTGCCTCATTCAACACAAGTCGAGCATGCGTCACATTACAACGCACATCGACAACCTCCGGGCAGCGCATCCCTCCGCTCGCTGGGACAAGCCCCGCCGCCCAGTGCCCGAGAAGGCACCTGCGCAGCCCCGTGCCGCTCCCCTGAGGCTACAGCCACGGCGGCAAGCTACGCTCGCGCATCCAGATGCAGCACGTGCATCCACACACTCGAGCGACTCGCAACCAGATTCTGACAGCGACGACCCTCCACAGCCCCAATCGGCGTCCGACAGTGACTTCAGCTCTACCGATCTCATTTTGCTGGCACGTTTCCGCGAAACACCACCTGCCGCACCCACCAGCGACGATTTCTCTGATCAAGGAATCCAGCCAGTGGTGCCCAGCCAGGAAACAACCACCTACGAAGTGCATACTACAGGTTCCGGATCCTGTATATATCCACTGAAACGTCCACGGACACCAGACCGATCACACCGCTCAGACACTGCCCGAAGACCCAGAGCACTCAAACGTTATGCTCAGGGAGCGCACCACTACGGCGTCTCTGTGCACGCCCGAATCGTCGCAACACGTGCCGGTAGTAACCCTATCAACGCAAGGCATACCGTTGCATCCTCCGAATGACGCCCCCGCCCGCAGCACCAACATCTGCCAATCCGCGCCTCCAACCACAACACCCGCGCCACCTTCACATGCAGATATATGCGCGATCGCAAGTCGTCCCCACGCTGCAGAAGCTCGCATGACGCCATTCAGCCTGTCTCCATGCCTCTCCGATGCTCGCCTATTAACAGCGCATAGCACACACTATGGCACACTCTATGGCGCACGGGGCCACACGTGGCAATGGGGCATGGCTAAAGCCCAGCCATAATGCCCATTATATGCCGCATCCAACTCGTGTCATTTTTTTATTGTCAGGACGAGCATACCGTAGTCGTAGAGCGCGGTGCACATTCGTAATCCCGGAGACTTCAGTAGCCCCGTACATCCCGGAAGCTCCTGCGGTCACGGTTATAGCATACCGCTTTCCTCGCACGTTCATGCATGCACATGACGATATTGAGCCTTTTACGGCTCGGTTTCTCCGTGTTTCGATGCACGATAGAGCTCGTATTATATAATATATATATAATAACTATAATTTAACGACGCACGCCAACGGTCTTATCGCGCCTGTAACCAACATGTCTACCTCGTAGCAAGCGTATTTACCTAGAACGATGGCAGCCGCCAATGCAGCGCCGCGTGCAACTGCGGATCCCCAGCCGCTACCGCCGCGCCCGACCACCGCTGCCGCCACATCACAGGACCCCGACGCCTCTATGTCTAGCAGCCCTGCCAGCAGGCCCCCCATCGCCTGGCCGCCGTCTGCCGCTACGACCACTACCCCTACAGCCTGGCGCACGACCACGACCCCAACCGCCGCCGTGGAATGACGTATTGATGTATTGATGTATTGCTGTATTGATGTGTCGACGTATTCATGTACTCACATATTGAGGTAATAAAGTTTCGACGTATCTCGTGTATTGCCGCGCTTTCTATAATGACGTCTTGCCGGTATCGCAGCACATAAATGTAGTGCTGAAATAGAGAAAAAAATAAAACACCATAAAATACAAAACCGAACAAATGCTGTCACACTTATAGCGTCCCTAACTTCGTAACTGTAACAGTCTTGCACCGTTTTGTCTCATATACGTCACCGTATTGCGTTCAGCGTATAGCGTATACCATTACCGGCTTCTCGGACGTTTCGCAGGCACAGCACCTATACCCCTGTGCGCGTTTCCCGGCACACATCCACCACTCCGACGCCCCGTCCTACTACGACAGCCAGGCCTCGAATTAAGTGACGAGAGGGGCAAGACAATTTTTTGGGGTCATGTGAGAAATTGCCTTGAATTTTCTCTAAAATTGATGGGCACTGAGGCAATTTTAAAAGGCATCGAGGCACTTTTGTAAAATAAAGGAAAACTCATAACAAATTAATACATCAACCTCTGCTAATGGAAGTACAGTAACAGGGTTCAACGTTAACTTTTTATTTCACTAGACCATCAGGCTAGTAACTCAGGAAAACCACTAGCCCTGACCTAAGTTTCACTAGCCCAGACCCAGACCATTGTTATGAAAAACTTTGTGTCATCGTATGAATTCTACTAAAATTTCTCTAAATTCCTTCCATACTCCTGTCCACCTTCCACCTTCACTTCGCCAAGCTACTTCGCGATCCACGTCTTACGGTACGAGGTTACTTGTATTCGGTTACGGTTTCGGTCGGTGTTTGTAGACATGTGTTTAGTATCGTAGAGTTGTTTGTTTAGGCTGTTAAAGTGCAAGCCACCTGTGACGCATATTCTGTGGTGTAATAGAACGCACGAAGAGTAGCTTTTATAATACTGTGTTCGTGTTATCTATCGACGGGACCCGACGCTACCCTTAAGGTGACTACCTCACACATGCTAGACCGAGAACCTGGAGAAGGGGAAGTGCAGAGCTTCCTTAGACCATTTCCTAATTCAAAAAGATGCAGAATATATCTCCTATAAGTCATTCCCCTGTGATTATTCAGATCATGACTTTATTACCACAATATCTGACATAAAAACAAAGCAGGACCCCCAAAGTGAATGGATTATGACAAGAGATATAAAAAACATTACAGCAGAACACTTCATATCAGACCTACAAAAAATGAATTGGGAAGGGATCTACAAAACTACAGATATCAACAATCAAGTGGCTATACTCCTATACAATATACAATACTGTCTAGAAATACATGCTCCAATGCGACACATTAAACAAGTGCCGCAGAACGACAGCACTCTTTCGCTCTCTCGCTCTTGCTCTCTCTTCCCTTCGCGCTCTCTCTCTCCCTCTCCCTCTCCCTACCACTACTCTCGTCTCTCTCTCCTCGGCTCGATCACACTCTCTCTCTCTCTCTCTCTCTCTTGCTCTCTCTTCCCTTCACGCTCTCTCTCTCTCCCTCTTCCTCTCTCTCTCGCTCACACTCACTCTCCATCGTTGTCTCTCTCTTTCTTTGTCTTTGTCTTTCTCTCTCCCTCTCTCTTCCTGCCTCTCTCTCTCTCTCTTTCTCTCTCACTCTTTCGCGCGCTCTCTCTCTTTCTCTCTCTCTCTCTCGCTCTCTCTATCACTCTCTCTCTTCCTCTCTTCTTCGCTCGTCTCTCTCCTCTCTCTCTCTCTCTCTCTCTGCGTGCTCCTCTCTCTCTCTCTCTTCCCCTCGCTCGCTCTCTCTCTCTCTCTCTCTCTCTCAATTTCTCTCTTTCCCGAGGCGGTAGCGGGCTGCCGGACGAAGCTGTAGCACTGATTGTCTATACAGATGTCTGATTGTCTATCAGACTGATTGTCTTATGGTCTTCTAACCCTAGCAAGACCGTTTCGTGAAGCTAGCAAGGCAGTAACCGTTTTTTATATAACTTCAGATAAATGTTTTAACTATAGTATATGTTATTCGGGTGGCACTCCGGCAGCCCATGTTTATTACTATGTTAACTCGGGTTCCCAGCAGCGCAGGATGGTAGAAAATTATGAAAAATTGTGCTTGAAAAAGCTGCTGTCCGGCCAGACAAGCTACCTGACAGATCTACTTGTCCTCCGTGAAATGGACAAGTACCGACAAAGGGATAGCCCTTATTTCGAACACTGGATGGTATCAGGAACCTTCTCAGAGAAATGTTCGTTGGAATCGTTTATGAAGTTGCCACGAGATGGCGCGTTACGTTTGAATGTCTTAAGATTAAGAGATGGAAGCTGGAAGCTTCCATCGGTATGTAGTATAGGCAACAGCACTATTTGCAAGACAGAATAGGTTAAGCCCTCATCCATTTACCTACGCCAAGCCTACAGGCTGAAATAGAGACGTGCCCCTATGTAACTAATTAACGCAGGCAAAAAAGTACACCATCACTATCACCACCACATGCACTGCAGTAGCCACTGTAAGTTAACATTACATTACATGTAACACACTGACAGTACAGAATGCCACTGAAATTATACGATTTAAGGAGCATAAACCTTCTTCAAGCAATTAGTTTTTGAAATTTCACTGTGACATTGTAGTGCTCATACATCCAGGCATTGTATAAATCTACTAGCAACCGGCAGTCAAATTCTTTCTAACAGTAAACAAATCCAATTTAACCTCCTCTTGAGGGTCAAAAGGTTATCAGACACTTACTCTTCGCATGTCAGTGGAAAGCACATTTCATGATCCTTTCAATAAAGCCAAAAAACTGGTTAGTCAGCCGCTAAAACAAAAAAGTTTTTCAAATCGCTCCGTCAGCACCATGTCCTCAGAAAATGTCTAAAATCTGCCTGTGGCCCATTGACCTTTGACCTGTGACGGTCCAATTTCGGACAGTGATGGCTGTTTGCCTCCATGAAGCTATACACCGACTATCACGAGCCTAGGTCGAGCCGTTTAGAATTTTGTGCCGGCATTCTGCATTTCCTCCCGTATACCTTAGTTATAGGAGGGAATGTTCCCCTTTTTTTACACCTCTTAACCTTTGACCTATGACCCCCAGCTTCGACATCCCAACTCGTTTTCGGATTACCCTCCGCGCCCCGGTCCCGAATATGCGTGACCGTACGTCGAGCCGTTTAGATTTTGTGCCGCACTGTTGACGGACGCACGGACGCTCGCACGGACGACGATCATGCGATTCTACAAGCTGCATCTGACTATGTCAGAATGAGCTAAAAACTATGGGCGCCAATGAAAAAGAACACAAAAGACACCCCCTGGTTCAATCCAGAGCTACGCAGTCTACAGGTGCAGAAAAAAAAGAGCGAATATAAAAAAACAGTATTAAAAGCATGAAACAAGAAGATTATGTTGACTACAAACAAATTAGAAATCGATTTAATAACCTTAATTCCAAGGCAAAAAACAAATACTACAAAAACAAAAGTAATGAGGCAAAATCACCAAAGATAAATGGAAACTCATTAATGAAACGCTTAACAGATGTAGAGATAAAAAGAGCTATATACATGAAATCAAATCTAATAAAATTATCACCACAGACTTAAAAGACATAGCCACATATTAAAATTCAAAATTCTTAGACATGGGTAAATTTAGTAACCCAATACCTCCCTATCTACAGAACATAAAAAATTGCTCAAGTCAGCATATACTAACACATCATTCTCATTCCAAGCTGTTAGTGAAGTGACAATATTAAACATTTTACAACAAATGAACTCGAAAAGTCGTCTGGTCCTTCAGAAATTACCCATGTCAGTATTAATGATGAGTAAAAATATCCTGCACACGCTCATATCTCAAATAGCATATATGTACGCCAAATGAACTCATGAGGAGTGAATTTGCGCTAATTTTGCAAACAGCTGAACGCAAACCCGTACATAAAAAAGGAGATAGAGATAATCCAGAGAACTACAGACCTATCTCAATAGTTCATTGTTTTGGTAAGTTACTAGAAAAAGTATTATACACTCAAATCTGCGATTACCTAGAAAGAAACTCCCTCCCTACTATACAAAATGCAATTTGGTTTTCGGAAAAATCACAGTACCACTGACGCACTAATTACGACTACAGAGTACTGGAGGCACAATTTGGACAATAACAAATTTGTAGCGACCGCATTTCTTGACTTAAGCAAAGGTTTTGACAGCATATCCCACAAAACATTGCTTCAAAAACTAAAACAAATATGATTTGACACATACTCTACAACACTGATTCATGAATACTTAAGAGACAGAAAACAGAGAGTGAAAATTAACAACACCACATCAGAATGGGGGGCTATTGTTAGAGGAGTCCCACAGGGGACATTACTGGGACCGTTACTATTCTGCATATATGTACATCAACAATATACCAAACATACTCAAAAATGTTAACTGACCCAATATGCTGACGATACATGTATATATGCCACAAATTCAGATCCAAATGAGGCTGTTAATACACTGCAAATGAATGTGGAAAAAATTAAACAGGTATTCGATTACCAAAATTTACAAATGAACCCAGACAAAACAGAATTCATGCTATTTTGCCCCAACAGTAATAAAATTGTGGATACTAACAAAATTGAGTTGGAAATAAGTAACAACTCGATACCACAATCGAGAACAGTAAAATTTTTAGGTATGTATATAGATCAGCATTTAACGTGAAATGACCATACTGACTACATAGGTCTCTCTCCTACCCCTGAGCCATGCTGAAACAACCCCAAATAAAATCAATCCAAGAACAAGTGAGAAAATGTACACATGCAATTTATTTATATATATATACAAGAGCGTACAACGGTGAAATGCTGAAACCATGTTGCAGTATTAGTCGAATTAATCAACTTTCCGTTTTATTTTGACGATTCTTTGCAGTATTATCGATCAGCTGTCCTACCTTGTTAATATAAAACAAACGACTTGTCCCTACGATGCTCCTACGCTGAGATAATGAGCGGTGAAAATCTGGTATTTTCGCCAAAAACCATTAATCATTTAAAAAATTATAAAGTTGTTGTAGATTGATGTTTCCTGGTTTTCAATATTTTAATATTTATATA